ATGAAACTAACACAGCACTGTAAATCAACTATACTCCAATATAAACATTCAAAAAATAAAAAAATATATAAAATGTACACTTGTATTGTACCACATTTTGATAAACTCAGAGAAAAGCTGCATAACTATCATTTTTAAACCAAAATTATTAATTTACTCAAATGTGTCAAAAGAGTAATCTTTATTATGTGAACTTGGATTTTTAAAATGTTTCTAAACTTCTAAAATATTAGAAGTTCACTTTCTTTGTTTCCTGTGTATTTGAGGGATTTCAATGGATATAAGCGTTTATTTACAAAAGAAAATATATATCCATTATTCATCCCACAGACATCACCAAATGGTCAGAAGATAAAACCCAAGTCCCAATTATTGCTGCCACCAATGAGAATAACTTATTGGCCATATAATATAACCAGAAACAAAAATTAAAAAATCAGTAGGAAAAACAAAGAAAGCAAAACAAAAGTAAGCAAACAAAAATAGAGAAAAAACAAATACAAAGCTCTATCACTACTTGGGATTTAATTTGAGAGCCAAGAAAAGACCTAACTGGGATGAAGCTGTTCATGAGGTATATATATTTCCCCAGCAATGCAGTTTACTTGGCTCCATGGGATGAGGCTACATGGGCATCTCAGTGGATGACCTATAAAATTATTAAGTATATTTTTCCAAAAGACCAACCAGAACTCTTACACATACATAAAATAAATGTGTCAAATATCTCCTGTAATTCATTAATTAATTAGGGAAACAGTAACATGATAAAATGTTCCAAAGAACATTTGAGAAGCTACGTATTAATAGGCAATGTTACAATGAGATTCCTGAGTTAGAAACCAAACTGGCTAATGACCTACATGGCCATAAACTGAAACTTCTGGGGATGGAATCACCAAATAAAATATAGGATGCAGAGTTAAATGTGAATTTCAGATGAATGGTGAATAATTTTTTCAGTATAAAGTCCTAAATATTGCATGCATATTTATTTGCTAAATATGGCAACTCTATAACGGAATTATCTGTTCCATTAGACAGAAATTATTTGCATTTCTTCCGGATAAAAATTTACAAATTAGTCTCTGCCTCTCTAGAGATATAAGAAGGCCCAGACAATATAAAGTCAAGCCCAAAATTGCACTAAAAGAATAATAATAATCTCTTTTACCAAAATTTAGTAAACTTGAGGTTTCCAAGTTTTAGATAATTTTCCCAGTGAAGCACACGTAAAACACTTAAACTGGAAAATACTGTTTATTACAAAGTAACACTGGGAATTAAGATGTAAAATGACAAGCATATAGACTGTTTCCTTAAGTCTCTTTATATTCAATTTGGGAAAGCTTTGGTAATTTCTTTTTCCAGAGTACTGTTTCATGCAGGTATTCTGATATTGCCACAAACGCAGGTTGGAAAGGTTATTTTTAGCCTTATGGCTTTTTCAACTGTAGAACAATATTTGCTTCCAGAAAAGAAAGCAAAACAAACTTTACAATCAGATAACAGGGCAAAAATTGTTCACATGTATTACTTGAATAAGGTCAGTAGCTGTATTGCCCCACTGTGTTCACCTCTCTCTAAAGCAGACCAAGATAAGCCATTCTACATTTCTAAAATATGAGTCTATCCCTCAAGGAATCATCCTAACCGCCAGGAAACTATATAAGAACTATATAAATTTGATTTTGAAGGAAAAGTTAGTGAGCAAATGATCTTAGTTGCAAAGCTTCAGCAAAGAAGAAATCTTCCCAGTAGCTATGCAGATAGAAATATTCATATGATAACTATATAAAATGATCCCTCCAATGCAATCTGGCTATTGTTATGTATTCATTCACTTATTAAAGATTTACTGAGCTCTACATATGCGTTGGACACAGGTGATACCACTACAAACAACAAACAAGTTGGACCCCTACCTTTGTGAGCTTACGTCTACTTGGCAGTTGTATGAAGAGAGAAAACAAATAAAAAACTGGTAAACTGAAGCTAAGTAACCAAACTATAATAAATTCTCTCTACAAAAGGATTTTAGAACTTAAAATTTAATTATATATTGTGAAATACTGACAGTTTAGTGAAAAGCTGATACTAGCTTGACAATGGAATTGTGATGTTTGTTTGCTGGTTTAAACTTCTGCAATTCAGGAAGCAATGTCAAAAACAATAACATCAGACAAAGGGCCGCTTGAGAGAGGCAAATAATAAAAATATGAATTTTAAAAAGAGAAGGAGAAACTCCAAATATTAGAAAGGCAACAGGGTTTGTATTCACAACTATAAACGTAATGATTAGTCCTGAATGATCTTATAAAGTAGAAACTCAGCAGGTAAGAATGGGTTTTGTTCAGATACCATTATTCAAATAATGACGAGTTTGGTAAGGTGACTGCCAGAATCAATTGGGGAAAATTTCAAAATATATAGAAGTACTTCTTCCTCCAGATTCAAATACCCTTTTGGTGGCTGTAACACCTACCTGCCTATCCAAAATGGATTCTCCACTTATGAGAACACAGATTTTATTGAGAGAGTGCTGTGTCCATTATTGCTCCCCTCTCCAGACTTCTGTAGCTATACTTGACTCTGTGACTCAGTATCTTGAGATAAACATAGAAATCTGCTGGGTGGAACATTTAGGAAATCTAGTTTTCCTGAAAAGAGACAAATCTAGCTGACATGTGTTTTGCTCTTTACCATTCTCCCTTCTTCTCGCCTGGTATGGGGAATAATAACTTTTAAAGGGAATGTCAATGCCTTTCCACTGTGAGGAACAAAATCTTACTCCAAGATTGGAGGATCAGGAGGCAAAAAGGAACCCGAGTCAAAATGACTTCCTTGAGCAGCTACACTCCCCCTGGGTAGCTTATCTCTGAATTTCTTGGTCAGTGAGAAAAAAATAGGTAAACTCCTATTTAGGCAAGACACATAATTTGTTTTCTCTTAATTGCAGCTGAATCCAGTCCTAAAAGAATGATAGAAGTGGAGGGAGAAGAAGAAGGGGGAACATGAATAAGTATTGAATATATTTTGAAATCGCTCCCTGGAGAATTCTAATATGAACCTTATCCTGCTCTATAAACAGGGGCTGTTCACCTACCTGTCACTGAGACACATGCATATATGTCAACTGTATCTGAAAGGCTCCTTCTAACCCGGGGTCTTAAAATGAAAAATTAAAATGGAATCTACTTCATGGAAATAATTATTCACAGTGTACTAAATAATGTGCATTTTCTCTCTCTCCCTTTCCTTCTTCTTCTCCCTCTTTCTAGATTTTTCTACCTACACACATATTACTAAAGTATAATTTTCAAAATTTTAAAATTATTACTCATGTCAAAAATTTTATTTAAAAAATTAATTAATGAAGGAACCAATAAAATGTTAAGATTGATTCAAAGAACATTTGAGGAGCTAACTAACTGTACGCAATGTAATAAGGAATGTTAGGATAAGATTGCTGGGTTAAATACGGAAGTGGTAATTGTCTACAGAGCAATAAACTGTAAGCTGTGACATCACCCTTTCTACAAGACAGAAATTATTTGCACCTCTGCTGGATAAAAATGTGCAATTTAACATGTAACCTCACTACATCCAGATTCTTTAATCGATAGTCTTGATACTATATTTGTGTACAAGACATACAAATTATAGCTCATATAAATATGTAAATATAAAATAAATATATATTTAAATATAATATATTTGAATATAAATATATGATAAATGTAAATATATAATAAATATATAACAAGTATTGCTGTGGTGTCAATGGTATTGACTACAATCCAGACTTTCTGGGAGCTAGAAAAAGCCTTAGCTGAAGGAAATGTTATGGCCTGATTTGCTTCTCTCCTTGTTTTGGTTCTTTGTTATCCACTGATCCTTATCTATATCACAGCTCAGTTTACCATCCATGACCTTCTACAGGGAAAAGACCTCTTTGGTTGCCTCAGAGAAAATTCCATTGACATCTTAGCTGTACTGTAAGCAACTGCTCAAAAGTGGAGACTAAATAACAGACTATGCCCATTGCATTTTTCTATACAGTTTCTATTACCTCTGTAGCTCAATTGCTAATTGTTACTTAGCATATATATAACAATTCTGTTAATTAATATGGAATTTGTCAATTCCAACTCACACTTTGCAAAACAGGCTAACTGTAGTTACATTTTATATATAGGTTGGTGCCTTTTTCTCTCAGTTGTTGGTGCAAAACTTGAAGAGACCACCCTGGATTTTGGAGGAACAAAATTTTGTCAGGGAATACTGCCTCAAAACTTCCCACTCATTGTTTAAAATACCATAGCCCCGGTAGTGAGGGTGGGCGGCGGCCGAGAGTCGAAGTCGATGGCCAAGGGGAGCGAGTTCCCCTTGGATAAAACTTGACGCGGACCCTGGGTTCCCAATTGGGGGCCCACCACAGTCTTGGGTGCATGGGCTGCGACTGGCTTTTTTTTTTTTTTTTTTTTTTAACCTGGCATAATACACTTCCATATGGTTGGGTTGTTTTGTTTGTTTTGTTTTTGGTAGTCACCTGTCAACTGGGCCAGGATGAAAGTGCTGGCTCCCCACTTGGTCTTCTCTGACATCACCCCAGCAGGGGTTAAGAGGGGTCATGAGTGATGCCTTCTAAGAAAAGGGTGAAGGTGGGAGTCCCTCTTTTCAGCCTTTGCTGACTGGGACAGGGGAGAGGTCACATTTTTTTTTCTGCAGGGTTTGGCTAGAATAGGGTAGTTACTGGTCTAAAAGTTGTCTACGTTGCCCCTTTCCCAGTCCTTTAGCTAGTGAGAGCAGGCATTTCTTGGGGTTTTAAAAAAATTTGTTCCTGTGGTGTTTCTAGGCCCCGCACGCGGCCGAGGTCAGAGGGCAAGCTTGCGGCAACACCAGGGCACGCGGGCAGCGGGGCGGGGGGCGGGGCAGCGGTGGCGGTTGCGGGGCATGCGCGGCTCCGCGCGCGGCTTCTCAAACATGGCGGCGGCGGTGTGAAGACCGGTACCGGCTCGCTGGACCAGTGTGACAGAATTTCGCTCTTTTCGCCGATGAGACTCGAGGAAAAAACACCAGAGAGGGATACCATGGGGCGAACAGTGAATGAAGAGTCAATGGATGCAAAGAAGGAGAATCAAGAGAAAGCTCCTCAGTCAGGCACATCTTCTGTGCAAAATGATGATTTTCACTGGGAAAATTACTTGAAAGAGACTGGATCTTTAAGTGCTCCTTCAGAGTGTTTCAGACAGTCCAAGATTCCACCAGCTAATGACTTCAAAGTTGGTATGAAATTGGAAGCCCATGACCCTCGCAATATGATTTCAATATGTACCGCCACAGTCGCTGGAATTACTGGTGCCAGGCTACGTTTAAGACTGGATGGTAGTGACAACAGAAATGATTTTTGGCGGCTTGTTGATTCTCCGGACATACAGCCTGTTGGGACATGTGAAAAGGAGGGGGACTTACTTCAGCCTCCACTGGGGTACCAGATGAACATATCATCTTTGCCAATGTTCCTCTTGCGAGCACTGAGTGGATCTGAAATGGCACCTGCAACATTCTTTAAGAAGGAACCACCAAAGCCACCTCTAAATAATTTTAAAGTGGGAATGAAACTTGAAGCTATAGATAGAAAGAACCCTTATCTGATCTGCCCTGCAACTACTGGAAATGTTAAAGGAGATGAAGTTTATATCACATTCGATGGCTGGAGGGGAGCTTTTGATTATCGGTGCAAGTATGACTGTCGAGATATTTTCCCAGTTGGGTGGTGTCGCCTGACAGGAGATGTATTACAACCACCAGGAACTCACGTTCCTGTTACAAAGAATATGGCAAAAACACAGCCTTCTCCTTCCAAAGCAATGCAGCGTTCAATGCAGTCTCTACAGGAAACTGCTGTAACATTACCAACACAGCAGATCAGGAAATCAGGTCGGACTAGATCACCTGCACATACTTCAGTCCCCAAGAAGGAGAGTTCTGTTAAAAATATCACACCAAGGAAAAGAGGCCCAAACTCAGGAAGAAAGGAAAAATGTATTCCTGTTGTATGTTCCACATCTTCAACTTCTGTCAGTATGCTGGCCAGAGGAGGTGGTGGTGTTTTATATGATAAGGATGCTGTTCCTGGGTCATCTAAAATAGTGATGTCTACAGTCTGTGTCTATGTAAACAAACACGGAAGCTCTGGCCCTCACCTGGATCAGAAGAAAATCCAGCAGCTGCCCGATCACGTTGGCCCAGGCCCTGTCAATGTGGTGCTCCGGCGGACAGTGCAGGCCTGGGTGGATTGTGCCATTCAAAGTAAGACTGTTTTTGGATTCCTTAAGCCAGATGATCGTGGAGAAGTGATAACCGCCTCCTTTGATGGGGAAACTCATTCCATCCAGCTCCCTCCAGTGAACAGTGCATCATTTGCTCTTCGCTTTCTTGAGAAATTGTGCCACAGCCTGCAGTGTGATAACCTTTTGAGTAGCCAGCCTTTTAGCTCTTATAGAGGTAATGGTCATAGTCCTGCAGAGCATGATCAAAATAACTCAGTAAAAGAAGATGCAACAGAAAAGAAAAGCACCAAACGACCTTCTCAGGAACCTCTGCCTTATGTTGCTCCTCTCTCTCCTAAGCTCCCCAAAACAAAAGTGCATGCCTCTGAAGGTAAATAGTATTTACATGTTGCACGATGGGGGAGAAAAGTCACTCTTCTATCACTTATATGCTCTTGAGTGTTGATGCTGGAAGCAGGGGAGTATATTCCCCCAAATCAGTTTGGCAGTTAGGCTACTACTTTGGCAGCTTTGTTGAGCACTTCATTCCCTTCAGAAGTGCACAGTTGTCATTTCTCCTCAGATTAAAGAAAAACAGTTATAGCCATATTTTCCATTCAGCTTTGTATTGCTAAAAGCTGATAGAAAGAGGAATAGAAAAACCTAGTACATTTCTCCAGTGAAAGTTTTAAGTGCCCAAGGAGTAAGCAAATGTTAGAAACCAACTCTGTGATCATATTGTAACGAAGAGTTGTGAAGAACTGCATTCCTAAAAATAAACGCTTTAGTGAGCTGTTCATAGTCTTGGTGGCAAGACTAGCAAGGGTTAGTTGCCGTGAGAAAAATAGGTGATATCATTAGAATCAATTTGGGTTTCAGGACAGTGTCCATTACTATAAACACCAAGAAGGGGATGGCCATGTGCTTTGTGTTAGAGGTTTGTGGTTCAGTATAGCATGGCTTAAGTGAACTGTTGCTGGCAGTTAGGGGATTTTTGACCTTTTAATAGTATTCGAGCTGTAAGTCTGTTGAAGATAATTGCCTTTGTCTTTTTTCTTATTGCCTTTGTCTTTTTTTTTCTTGAAGAAGTATTATCTTCTGAGGGAAATGGCATGCCCAAAGGGGAAATGCTTTCTGAAGAGTCCAAAAACTCACCACTAAATCCAGCAAGTTCTCTGAATCCTGCCAGCACAAGTCCTATAAGCACTCATACTTCAGTCTCCAGTAGTGTTTCTCAACGTGTGCCATACACCTCGAGTTCAACACTGGTGGGGACCGAATCACCTCCCAAGAGCAGTCACCATGAAGTTACATTCCAGATGCAGAGGAAAAGTGAAACTCCAAGTTATATAGCTGTACCTGACCCCAGTGTCCTGAAACAAGGCTTCTCTAAGGACCCTTCAACCTGGTCTGTGGATGAAGTGATACAGTTTATGAAACATAAAGATCCTCAGATATCAGGCCCCCTCGCCGACCTCTTCATGCAACATGAGACTGATGGGAAAGCTATGCTACTACTCAAAAGTGATGTGATGATGAAGTATATGGGGCTGGAGTTGGGGCCAGCCTTAAAGTTATGTTCTTGTATTGAAAAACTTAAAGAAGGAAAATATAATTGAAAAAAATGTGTAAGTTTAGATTAGACATAATTTTCAACTGTCTTGATAACTTTTTAATTTAAAAGTATTTTTATTCTCGTAGCAGTTTTTGTTTTGTAGACAGTTCCTCTAAAACTACGTTATATCCAGAATTGCAGAACTACATTACAAGTCCAGTCTACTTCTTTAAAACACATTAACATGTTGGTATTAGCATATTCAACTTGGCAGTCCTTTATGTCTTTTTATTATTTTACATTTTACAGTTTATTATTTAATTGTACAGTTTACAAATATACTTAATGCAGGAAACAGAGCAACACCGTTGATTTTGATTAATGTTTATATATAAAACCAAAACAGCTACATCCCAAAGGGGAAAGTATCAGGGACTGACAGGCTCTCTAGTGAAATCCATGAGAAGTTTTCCTTAGAAAAGAATTTAAAGATGCAACTGTAGATATCATCTCTTTTTCAAATATTTTATGTCTGTTACTGCAATGTTCTGTTTGTGTTCTACCAATTTCCGGAAAGGGAATAGCCATATAAATTATTTTCCTTTCGTTATTATTTCTCTGTATGTTGTGTTTGTTCATATTTAAAGAAAAAAAACAAGCTTATAAACTTTCATAAAGTGTTCTTATCAGTTTTTGATAAATTTCAAACAATTGTAAGATAGAATGGTTGTTTTATGCAGGAGATATCATACTACAAGGGTGGTTTGGATGGAGTCTGATTAAAATTTTTCAGTGAAATACCTATTATTTGAAAACTTTACATATTTTCTCTAAGCTTAGACATTTAACTAGGCATTCATTTCTCATATCTCTATATGAGGACACCTGTGCCCAAATTTTTTAAATATATATATTTTATCGTCTGTGTTTTATTCTTCACACAGATACTATACCATATTTATATATTATTCTATACCTGTAGGTATTCAAACAAGTAAATCTGTTCTTTTTGAATTTAACATGTCACTTTGCACTGCCACAGAGGTAATGGTGAACTATTTATATAGTTGGATGTTTTTATTCTGAAAAAAATACGTGCATCATCTGCTATCACTAGTACCTCTCAGCTTAGTCTTCAGGGGATAAGAAACAATCCATAGATTGGTTTCCATACACGGAAGTTCTCTGTCCTATGCAATGTTGCTAGTTAATTTGCTTAGTTCTGAGCCATTTATTCTGCTAAATTTTGGAAGATGCATTAATTCAGACTTATCATTTTGGGCTTTATTTATAAAGTTAGAACTTTCAAGGGGAAATGGTGCTATATGTTTACTGTCAGTACTCTGTATAAGTTTGGTGTAATGTTAATAAGCTATGAGAATCTGTGCTAAAAGTATTAGCCATTTGTTATAAAGGCCAATAAAATGTACACCAGGGGCAAGAATGTACATTTTCTTTTTTAGAAAACCAAATGTACTTTATATGAGAATGCTTCTATTTAAAGGGTGGTTTCATCTGTGTTATTCATTTTGTGTTATAAGACAAAATTCTAATTTAAACTTGGTCTTCTCTCAAATTGTTTGTGTGAAGATGCTGTGCCCAGTTAAACAGTCCTCAGGTGTTTGTATAAATACTGTTTTACAGTTTTCAGATTTTAAAATATAATAAAGTTTAATAACCACAGCCAAAAAAAAAAAAAAAAAAAAAAAACCATAGCCCCAAATCAACCTCTGGCTATGGCTGAGTGAGGAGTGTGGCAAATCCTCTCCCCTAAAAGCAACTAAAATGCTGAAGAAAATTGAGAAAAACAACCATTTCTGTACTATGGAAGGAGTCCAAAGACATATAACAATGTAAGAAGTATTTATGCTTGAAAACTGCTAATACTGAGTAGAAGTAGTAGGAGTCTGTGGCATTTTTGCCTGGGATGTTCCCAACAGCCCTCCAGCTCCATTGGCATGGATGTTCTGCCAGAGTAGGGCAGGCCATGAGGGCTGACAGCTTCACTGATGCAGGCAAAATAGAGTGAGCCTCTTTAACTGTTCAGTGATGGAATACACATTCTTTCCAAGTGAAAAGTGAACATTTACAAAGACCATACTCAAGGTCATAAAATAAGTCTCAAAAACATTAAAAGAATTCAAGTCACATTAAATAGCTTCTCTGACCACTATGAAATTTAATTAGACAACAATAACACAAAGATTTCTATAAAATACCCAAATTTTTGGAAGCTAAATATCATATTTCTAAATAGCCCATGGATCTAAGAGGTAAACCAAAAGTTAAATTAGAAGTATTTTGAAATGGATGAAAATGAAAACACAATATATTAAAATGTGCAGGATGCCTCTAAATATGGATTAAAGACAAAAATGCTTATATTAGAAAATAAGAACATTCTCATATCCGTGACTTCAACTTCCACCTTTAGATACTAGGACAGGAATAGCAAGTTAAACCCAAAGTTAATAAAAGTCAAATAATAAAGTTTGTAGTAGAAATCAGTGAAATAGTAACAGAAACTAGACAAAAATCAACAAAGCTAAAAAGTGATTCTTTGAGAAGATCAATAAATGTGATAAGCCTTTAGCCAGACAGGTCAAGGAAAAATTATGAATATCAGGAATTAAAGGAGTGACATCACTACAGAGTCTAGAAAATTTTAAAGAATAATGAAATATTTTGAAGAACTTTACACCAAAACATTTTAAAACTTTGATAAAATGGACAAATTGCTTGACAGCACAAACTACCAGAGCTCTCTGAAGAAAAGATAATCTGAATAAACCTATATTTGTTAAAGAAATTGAAATTGTAGTTAAAATCCTTTCTACAAACATAATTTCAAGATCAGATGGCTTCAATGGTAGCCAAACAGTTAATGAAGGAATAATGCCAATTCTATACAAACGCTTCCAGAAATTGAAGAGGAGGGAATCCTTTCCAACTCACACACTAATACCAACATCATGCTACTAACAAAACCAGCTAAACTGTTTTAAGCAAAGAAAACTAAGGACCAATATCCCTCATGGACATAAATGCAATAATTCTAAACAAAGTTTTAGCAAATCTAATCCAACAATACTAACAACAATAACAAAAGAATAGGCAAAGGATTTCAACAAACACTTCATCAAAGAAGACATAAAAGCGATAAATAAGCACACAAAACGGCATTCAACATCATTAGTCATGAGGAAAATAACAATTAGAACCACAGTGAGATACCACTACAGACCAATTAGGAAGTCTAAAATTAAAAAGACTGACCTTACCAAGTGTTAGCAAGGATTTGGAACAACTGTAATTCTCATCCACTGATGGTTGGAATGAAAAATGGTGTGGCTACTTTGGAAAACAGTTTAGCAGTTTCTTAAATAGTTAAGCATCCACCTAACATATGATCCAGCCATCCCCCTCCTAGGTATAACCCAAGAAAAATGAAAGCATATGTCCATACAAAGACTTGTATATGACTATTTATAACAGCTTTATTTATAATGTCCCAAAACAGGAAAGAGATCTAAATGTACATCAACAGATGAATGTATTAAAACAAGACTCTGCTATATCCATACAATAGAATACTTCTCAGCAGTAAAAAAGAATGAATCACTAATACGTGCTACAACACGGATAAACCTCAATGTAAATAAGCTAAGTGAAATAAATCAGACCAAAAAGAAATATAATGAATGATTCAATTTATATAAAGTTAAAGAAATTGGAAACGAATCTATAGTGACAGAGAGAAGATCAATGTCTTCCAGGAGATCTAGGGTCAGAGAGGAGCAGACAGAATCATGAGGACAATTTCGTTTTGGAGGTAATGTATATGTTTATTATTGTGATAATGGTTTACACATGTTAAAACTCATTAAAATATAGGATTTAAATATATGCAGCTTATCATACATCAACTACTGCAAAATAAGGCTGTTTAAATTGTTTTAAACCCACAAAAAAAGGCCAGGTAGAAATGACTTCATTGGTGAATTGTATCAAATACTGAATGAAAAAATCCAAATTTTTGCAAGCTCTTTCAGTAGATAGAGAAGGAGGGAACATACTTTATAATCCATTCTATGAGGCCAGTATTAATCTGATATCAAAGCCAGAAAAAGACATCACTAAAAGAAACTACAAACCAATATCCCTCATTAACATAGTCACAAAGAAATTCCTTGACAAAAATTCATTCAAAATGGACCCTGAACCTAAAAATAAAATGCAAAGCTATAAAGTTCCCAGAATATAGCATAGGTGAAAATCTAGGTGACCTTGGGTTTGACCGATGACTTTTCAAGTGCAACCCCGACAGTGTGATCTAAGAAAGAAAAATGATAAGATGGACTCCATTAAAATGAAGAACTTCTGCTCTTTAAAGACACTGATAAGAGAATGCTAAGACAAGCCACAGACTGGGAGACAAATTTTGCAAAACATCTCATAAAGAACTAGTATCCAAAATAGACAAAGAACTCGTAACACTCAACAATAAGAAAACAAACAATGTAATTACAAATGGGCAAAAGATTTGAACAGACACCTCACTAAGGAAGATAATGCAGGTGGCAAATATGCATATGAGAGATGCTCAACATCAAAAGTCATTACAGAATTGCCAATTAAAACCGCAATAAGATAACACCACACACCTATTAGAATGTCGGAAGTGCAAAACACCGACAACACCAAAGGCTAGCATGGATGGGGAGCAGTAACAATTCTCATTCATTGCTGGTGAGAATGAAAAAGGATACAGACACTTTGGAAGACACTGGGCAGTTTCTTACAAAACTAAACATACTCTTACCATAGGATCCATCAATCGTGTTCCTTGGTATTTACCCAAATGAATTAATAACATAGGTCCTCACAAGGGTCTACACACAAACGTTTATAGCACCTTTATTAATAAGTGCCAAAACTTGGAAGCAGCCAAGATGTCCTTCAACAGGTGAATGGATATACGAGTTGTGGTACATCCATGCAATGGAGTATTATTCAGTGCTAAATAGAAATACAAAGCCACAAAAAGACATGGAGGAAACTTAA